CTGATCGTCTGCTGTCACTCAGCTGATCGTCTGCTGTCATTCAGCTGATCGTCTGCTGTCAATCAGCTGATCATCTGCTGTCAGTCAGCTGATCGTCTGCTGTCACTCAGCTGATCGTCTGCTGTCAATCAGCTGATCATCTGGTGTCAATCAGCTGATCGTCTGCTGTCACTCAGCTGATCATCTGTTTTCAATCAGCTGATCGTCTGCTGTCAATCAGCTGATCGTCTGTTGTCAATCAGCTGATCGTCTGCTGTCACTCAGCTGATCATCTGCTGTCACTCAGCTGATCGTCTGCTGTCAATCAGCTGATCGTCTGCTGTCACTCAGCTGATCGTCTGCTGTCAATCAGCTGATCGTCTGTTGTCAATCAGCTGATCGTCTGCTGTCACTCAGCTGATCGTCTGCTGTCACTCAGCTGATCGTCTGCTGTCACTCAGCTGATCGTTTGCGTCAATCAGCTGATCATCTGCTGTCAATCAGCTGATCATCTGCTGTCACTCAGCTGATCATCTGCTGTCAATCAGCTGATCATCTGTTGTCAATCAGCTGATCATCTGCTGTCACTCAGCTGATCATCTGCTGTCAATCAGCTGATCATCTGTTGTCAATCAGCTGATCATCTGCTGTCACTCAGCTGATCGTTTGCCGTCAATCAGCTGATCATCTGCTGTCAATCAGCTGATCATCTGCTGTCACTCAGCTGATCATCTGCTGTCAATCAGCTGATCATCTGTTGTCAATCAGCTGATCATCTGTTGTCAATCAGCTGATCGTCTGCTGTCAATCAGCTGATCATCTGTTGTCAATCAGCTGATCGTCTGCTGTCACTCAGCTGATCATCTGTTGTCAATCAGTTAATCGGCTGCTGTCCCTCAGCTGATCATCTGCTGTCAATCAGCTGATCATCTGTTGTCAATCAGCTGATTGTCTGCTGTCACTCAGCTGATCGTTTGCCGTCAATCAGCTGATCATCTGCTGTCAGTCAGCTGATCGTCTGTTGTCAATCAGCTGATCGTCTGCTGTCAATCAGCTGATCGTTTGCCGTCAATCAGCTGATCGTCTGCTGTCAGTCAGCTGATCGTCAGTTCAATGAAACTTACATCTTTGATCTGAAAACAAAAACATTAAAGAGCAGAAATATTAGAAATCCCAGATGTACTCAGGAAATGAAAGTTAGCTGAAAGAAAGGTGTTACTGATGAGGACGAGGACAGTGAAGGAGACAAGCTGTCTGTTATTTATGGACAGAAAGACTCCAATAAACAGGAAGCAGTTGTCAGTTTAGTTGGAGCTGCACTCAGGAACTCTTCATTCATTCTTAGATTCATTAATGAAGCTGGGTTTGGTTTTTCGGCCATGATGTGAAGAAGAAGTCAGCTGCAGCTGTTTCCAGATGTTTAGATAGACACATGACCAAATCCCCTCGACGTCACATTTATTCATGAAACTCTGCCAACCAATCACAATCCTGGATGTGGAGCCACAGCCTCGATTTCCACTGCCATCCAGGTCTCCCATTGAAAAGCACTACAGAGCTTTGATTTTCAATGGGAGCAGCCATTACCATTTACCACCTCCTCCAAACACATCAACAGTAAAACTAGACACAATCTACATCCAAATGAGCCATGACTTCTTTTGGTACTTGGTGTTACCATGGTGATGTAATTCACCAAAAACCCTGGGATTGGCATCGCTTCGAATTCCATCAAAACTTTGCTCAGAAATATCTCACAAACCACCAGACAGCTGTTGTGAATCTCCCAAAAATTATCAGGGGTTCCTCCAGGACTGATTAGTTTTTGGGTGGGCCATGTTCAAAATGGCCACCGCAGCTAATACAAGCATGGGAAAAACTATGTCCTTAGTGGAGATACTGGACTGTAATCTGGAGTGGTAGTAGCTGGGAGTGATCCCCAACACATACTGTGACTGCTCCTTTAGTCCTCTGTTTAACTTTGCCAGAAACTGATGGAGACTATGTCTGTTAGTAAAATATCTTCAGCACAACCACAACAGAGATTTCAATGAACTTTCAGAAAAATGCAGGTTCAACTTCTGGAGTCACCCTGATTCAAGATGGCCACTAGAGCTAAATACACCAAGTGGCAGACCCTTTCAAAGTTCCTTCAGGAACTTTTCTACTTTTATTTTTCTGTTTGGTGCTGTTTGTACATCTTTATTTCAGCTACTGAAGAGCAGCTGAAACTTTATTTGTAACGTTTCACCCTAAAAACAGTTAGCGCTGTAGCTTAGCATCATGGTGGTTCTCTTCTAGACATTGTTTTTTAAAGCGGCTCGGACGAGTCGGCTCCTCAAAGTGTGAGGTCATGCTTCTCGACAGGAAACAGGTGGAATGGTCCCTCCAGGTCAGGAGAGTTTGCCTCAGGTGGAGGAGTTCAAGTATCTGGACGTCTTGTTCATGAGTGATGAGAGGATGGAGCGGGAGATGGATCCACGGACCGGGGCCTCGTTTTCAGTAATGAGGGCGTTGCTTCGGTCAGTTGTGGTGAAGAGAGAGCTGAGTCAAAAGGCTTTGCTCTTGATTTACTGGTCTGTTACGTTCCAACCCTCACCGATCGGCATGAGGTTTTGGATCATGACCGAAAGAACGAGATCCTGGATACAAGTGGACAAAATGGGCTTCCTGCACAGAGTGACCACGCTTAGAGATAGGAGGAGGAGCTCCTTCATCTGGGGGAGCTCAGAGTAGCGCCGCTGTTCCTCCACATTGAAAGGTGTTAGTGGAGGTGGTTCAAGCATCTGATTAGGATGCATCCTGGACACCTCCCTTTAGAGGTTTTCCAGGCACGTACCACTGGTAGGAGTCCCCGGGGAAGAGCCAGAGTCACTGGAGGGATTGTGTACCTTTTTTGTCCAGGGAACACCTGGGGGATCCCCAGAACGAGCTGAGGAGTGACGCTGGTGAGAGGGATGTCTGGGTTTCTCTGTGGACCTGTGGCCTCCACTGCTCGATTATGAAAAAGCGGTAGAAGATGGATGGATGGATGCTGGATAGATGGATGGATGGATGATAGATGGATGGATGAATGGATGGATGGATGAATGGATGGATGAATAGATGGATGATGGATGGATGATGGCTGGATGAAGGCTGGATGATGGAT